ATAATAAACTTATGGCACTTTAACCCTGAATTTGATATAGTTTCGGTTTCTTAGATGATTACAACCATTCATTATTTCAGTTCATTCAATAGTGCAAGGGTGGTCAGACACTTATTAAACTGAGAGGTTCACTATAGAGAATACCTATATGTATGCCTTCCCTTAATTGAATTGATAGGCAAGGTCCTACCAATGTCAAGCTGGTTTATAACTTACTAATACGAGTATACTTCTCGACTATAGACCAAAAATTCAAGCTTTGGCCAGTGACACAATCCAACTGATAACAATTGATTTCGGGAAGCGGCTTAGATAATGTTAGATGCATTTTAGCTCATAACACACGATTCCCTGAAATATCCTATCCAGTCAGAAATCAAACACAACAAGAATGCCAACTTTCTGCTATTATCTAATTCAATCATTATAACTCTAGCACTCATATTGTCATATACATTAATTACCAGACGGCGATACGCTATATACACGGAATTATAGTTGTTACACAATGAAGCCATAATAGACAAAAATCTGTAGAGCCAGTGAAACACCACTAAGTCCTAAACAAATCATTCAGCAGTCTGATCGCCTCTCTTTAAATAGTTTACCGAATCTCATCAGGGTCATTGATAAGCAACGCATATTAGTCGATTGTACACCAAGAACAGAAGTTTGAGGCAATGGTTCCACTTTGTGCTTCTCCATTCACTACTTTCTAATACAGGCTTCTGTCCGCTGGAAGCATTTATTCTAACTAGTCGCTGGGGAAATCCGTTTATCTGTTTATCACGATGGGACAGGGCAGGTTACGTGTTAATCGCGAGGTGTAACTTAAACGTAAGCCAAGAGGTCAAACCATCCTCGTCCAATCTTTGGTTTTGGTTCTTTTTGTAAAAGGAACTTGTTGAAATACATTGTGCTGAGAAAACTACTTAAATTGGTGGTTCATAGAACAAAGTAAAAGGTTATTAAATGGTTGTTGCTAATTAAGGGATGGTAAAACGTCTAAATACAGTTAACCAATCCAACAAAATTTCCCCATACGAGGAATACTGACGTTCTGTTATTCATTTGTTCAGCTACTGCATAACAAAAAAGTATTTACTAATCCTCCGCGAGACGATTTCGAAAGCCGCGAGTTTCTCATCTTCTTCAGTTCACCAGCATCCTCCTTTTCGAAGAATTATCTCGAGGAATGTTTACTCGTTTGGCCTTAGTTCGAGCGTGACCATAGATCACTTGACAGAAAACGAGATAAGATTTTTTTAACGGAAAAAACTCAAAGTATATAAATGACCAGCAATGGTTATTCTGAATATCACTATTCTTTCGTGTTTTCTTATTCAGTCTTTAACATGGTTTGTTTGCATTTTCACATTGTATAAGCTTTGTAGCGGTAAATAAATCCCCAAAATAAATAGCTCTAAGTTTTCGACATTGGATGCTGACCATATGTTTTAGTGGACTCATCTAGCTGAAGGCGCTCGGTCATGCATCCGCACCAGATCACGTGTGGTAACGCCATGCTCAACATCTACCGCAATCGCTAGCCAGATTAGATCAGAGAATTCCGATATATTGGTAATCGCCAAATACACTCTTCCGATCTCCTCGACTCTGTCTTTTGATTTCTCTGGGTGGGAACGAAATATATTAGAAGGTGTTACTGGTAGAAGCGTTGTCAAACACTGAATACCTGTGACATCATCAGCTTGATCTTGCTTTAGTTTGGTATTTGCGAAATCCTCCTTTAAAAATCTAAAATTAGAAGGCTTTCATTGAAGTTGCCACAATTATTATCAGAAGAATATATGTGTGCTGATCACTTGCAATTTATGAACAAAATTTTGGTACCTGAACTAGAATTTGACTTTCTTGTTGTCTGGGCCGAAAGCAACGAGAGTAGTGACCTACCGCCCTTCAAGGACGGAATAGCGTAGATTTTGGACGTAACAGCTGTATATAACTTACAGTAAGGTGCTTGCAATCTCTCCTTTCATATGAAAGACTGTCAAATTATTTTGCCATTCAATAAACATACCACTTCCTAACCTAAACGTTTACTTTCTGTTCATGCAGCTTTTCACAACTTGGCAATTCACACTAGTAGGACTGTGTTGTATAGTTTTCGGTGTTTTCAAATGTAGTATGAATTCCACACGATATATTTCTGTGTTATGTTTCTAAGCTCGTTTGTTAATTTAAGAAAAGTTAGGCTTCTGGAGGACTGAAACCTAAATAATAATCTTTTTACGATCAGGATTTAACTAAATGCCCATGGATATTCAGTAGGACTTTATTCTCTACCAGAACTTAAGCTTTATGAACGTTATATATTGCCCACTTATCTGTTGTATTCGTCCTAACTGATCTACGGTGTAAACTCTAGATGGTAATAGTTTAGATACGTAAAACCGAAAAGATGATCGAATATAATTCCAGGGAAAAAAATCATACGCAGTCCATTCCCATCACAGAATCGGACAGACACACTATATACATAAGGAGAAATCGTAAGACAGATTACAGAATATCGGATATCCATTTAGGCTGTGGAGGTTGTGGTGCTGGTGTCAATTGACGCTTTCTCTGTATATTATTCTGCACCTAACTCAAATTCCAAATTTAGTAACTTCGATTGTGCCCACGATATTCTCTTTGCTTCAAAAACTGTTAGAATACAATTTTGATAGTTCTAGGTATTACTAGTTGACATAACGAAGTTGACCACTTGTGATTACTGGATGATACTTCTAGCAGTATCATATCATTGTGCAAAGTCATAGTGAACATCCTCGATGAATCTAGCTCTTCTCAGTCATCAAGAACATTACATTTAACAACCGCGTTTTTTTTCTTTCGGGATGGCTGTGAAGTCAATAAAAGATTATCCTCTTAGTATTTCAGTTATTTTCGAAGGTCTACAAAGTTCTCCAGAGTCATACTACTTGCTGATTGACATTGATAGTTTTGTCGCATATACAAAAATCTGAAGTGATTGGGTAATATAGTATTTAAACGGTGACAGCACAATACGTATCACTTTCGAGCTTCCTGTGGAAACAAGAGCGATAGAAATTTATTTTAGGACATTAGCACGGTTATATGAAAAGAAGCAGCTTGCATTCCGTTAAAAGGAAGAACAGGTGAACGGTAATCATTTTGATTAATTTTCTTCACTGTACTGACTGAAACTACTTCCAAGCACTGAACAAGTTGTGACGACCGTAAAAATCTTTGTTCTCTTGTTGTGATTAACATGAGCTGGCACTTTGTTATACCGATAATTCAGTTAACTAATCTGTTATCAGTTATTCTGCCTATAGCTTTCAAGATCAATGGCTCTTACGGGACAACCATTCTGTGATCATATAACAGCCAACTGAGGACTCAATGCAAAGATCATAATAACAATTGAACAATGACCACGAAAAGTTGATAAGGGATAATAACTGACTACAGTTTGAAACTACAAAATGAAAATAAAAACAAGAGAAAACCAAAACATGCTGTGGGGAAGAAGTAGAGTTAATGGAGGATCCGTGGTTCGGGCTTGAATTTGTGGATTGATCCGGTTCTTTTGATTGCATAAATTATTTTGAAGTGTTTAGAGTTGATCAACTGCTCTTACATTGAACTGGTGAACGTTAAGCATGCTCCTTTTAAAAGCCTCAGAGATCAGTATTTTGAGGTGCGCTTGGAATGTGCGGCCAGTGTAACCTGCCCCATAGAAGCAAGAAAATAATCCTATCTACCTTCACTTATTCTATTTTATATATAGCCGAGTGACCCTAGTCTTAACTATTGACATGCGCGGATAGGAGAGTTTAACTTTTAACTGAAGCTAAAACGACGGTAATCTCTACTAGACCGCTGATATTTACACCTATCTCCGGTCCTGAGCTTACCTATCTTGATATTGTTGACGAACTTCAAGATGGGACAAAATAAGACTGGGACATTTGTTCACTTCTAGGTAATATAAGTTTCAAGACCCTGAGATCACCAATAAAGACTGCTCATTAGCTGAAAAATCTGAAGTCAACTATCACTTCCAACTCCCATCCTTTTGTTACAAATGTCACATGAAAATTTAGCAATCAGACAGAGCAGCTCTATGCCATTTCTGCATTTATGTGAAAGACAGAGAACAAGATTTACATTGTAACATGATCACTATATAACAACAGCCAAAATCAGGGATTGGATAGTGGTTATTGCACTGATTATTAAATCCGAAGGATACCCTACTGGACTCATTTAGTAATATATCTTTCAGGTGAACAACTAATGAGGAAGATCTAGCAGTAAAGTAATGCATTATGTTATGATCAGGTAGTCTATAATATTGAAAAGATTACTAACCGTGAAACACCCATTCAGAATAAAATAAGTGACAAAACAAACCGATAAGAGGAATTTGACTGCAGTCTAATGACGGATATTCACAAAAAAAAATTTTAAACATGTATGTCGACCAAGATTTGTTGGTATAAACGATCCTGAGGGAGATGCTTTAAACGGTGAAAACGCTAGAAACCTTTAGGTATCATATCATCAGAGAAGTTACATTTTTATACTTTATCAGAGATGTGGAGTAGATATTTCATTCGGAACCATTAGGAACATCAGTCGTCATGTTCGATTATCAGTCAGAAAACATACCAGTATCGAGACCAACTGATTCAAACACTATAGTTTGCCAGGGATCGTCTTCTAACTTTTCATGACTAAATGCTTCTAATGGTTGGCGACAATGGGAAATCTACCATATATTTTATATACCCACGATAATCTTGAGGTATTCAGATATAGTAATAGTTCTTCAGATGCAAAATAACGCACCAAACCATTTTCAGACGTTCGCATCAATGAAGTCAGAAGAAAAGTTTTTAGCACTACTATTATTGCTCCTACACCTGATGACGATGTACATTGAAAGAATTTTCAGACGTGTCGTCTGCGGAGTGTTTTCAAATGTTTGCGCTACACTCGTCAGAATGTTGCTGGACAACGACACAGTCAGTTATGCTATTTTAATTTTCTTATAGAATTTCAGTTCCTCACATCCCTTCACAAGCTTTTCAATCAATCAAAGTCTAGCGGATCACTGTATATTACAATGAAAAGATGTAAGTGTTTTTTCTTGTACTGTATGTTTTCCTACGTTTAGATGATGGACGAGTTAAACCTATTCCCAAGCGGGTTCAAAAAGTAAAGGATGTTCATGTAACTAGCGAAAATAGCTGTCTTCTTCGAGCTACACTTGGAAACCAGAAAATTAGTACTGTGGTGAGTTTATAATTACTGTGTACTGGGCTTTGAAAATTATATTATGGAGCGACCTTTTATGCACTTCTTCGTCAGTAAACGGATTTTATTGAAGTTTTCCGGCAGCATTTGTGCGAGTTGTTGGTTTCAGCCTCCGTATTCGTCTAGTCCTACCTGGTGGCGGCAGTATTGTACCTGAAAAACCTAGATTGTTTTTAGCGGGTGTGACTCCACTGTATCACTCAAGTTTCGGTCCGAACAATTTAATAACTATCGCTTTAGAGTGAATGACTGTTAATTTGTATAGCCGTACTTAGTTGCACGTAAGTAATGCTTCTAAGTTGTCCCTCATTTCAGAATATGTTGAATGCACTCACATACAATATTATGTAAAATACCTCACAGTATCAAAATTGCTAACATGGTTGTTCTGATGTTTGGTGCACTGCTATTATTCGTCTCGTGAAACTCATTGGTCGGTACAAACCCAATGGTTGATACAGACATGAGGGTATCATATAAAAGTAAAGCGCTTCAACCTGTAAAATTTATCCACCGTTTTTAGGATGAAACTCGTGATATAATTGATCGTCTTGTTAATACGACATCGTTGTAGTTCCAGGATTATTATTGTAGAAATAGTCGTTCTGCTTTAGATGGTGAAATAGCTCGTGAGTTATGATATGTTATTCAGATTCTAGATATCACTAAATGCTATCTTCCCAAAGTTTAGTGATATAACGATCCTCTTATTCAAGTGTACTTAAGTCTCACTTCAAGAGTACTGGTCATTTAATTTTCTAGGGTCCCTGGATTTTGCTGCTTTTTCCTTTTATTTATCTTCCGTAATCTATAATACTTCAGTGTTAGGAAAGTGGTATTGCTAATTGTTGGACATTTTTACTGATTTCAACCAAACTCACTTATATTTGTCGGCTCGTTTTAATGTGTAAAGAACCGAATGTATCTATACCACTAAACTAGTATTGAGGATGCCATGTTCTTATTCTTAGTTCGTTTATTCGAACGGCTGGCTCATCAGCTTCTAATATCTAACTGGATTATATCTATATCGTCTATTCACTCTCCAGATCACTAGGGATTAGGGAATGGTAAAATGGGAAACTCGAAATATCGAAATCTTCTTTGGTAAAAATATAATTCTTATTATTTATTCAGTTAACGCACACGTAGGTCGCAAAACACAAATCAGTTGGCCCATTGACTTGTGTTGCAAACCATGTTTGATAACGTATCAAGTCACGGAGTTGTATCACTTGTAAGACCCCAACCGAGAGATGATGGACTTGCAGATGTTAATCCTATTTTACTGTTTATTATACCACCGTCTTAGCATCGGGAAATAAGGCAGCCTTTGGAAACCGTTGTGATGACATTTGTATAAACATTACCGGGTTACTGAATTAGACACCAATTGAATTGTCATAACTGCCCAATATCACTTACACAGTATTGTCACTGGATACGAGCAATGATTGTGAGACAGTGCTGACCATACGCTCTGGTCTTCAAAAATTCTTAGCTCAAAGTGGTCAGGTTACACAAGAATACGCTAGAATTACTGTCGACGGTACAAAATCTACCTTATGTATTGTGAAGAACATCATGACGACCCCCGAGCGGCCAAAGACGCTAGCTCTTACTATATGTGTAGATCAGTTTGCCACTTAACCCCCCTCGGAAACTCATAACTATCCTATTATTCCTAACTCATCACGAAATGTGGATACATACACAGGCTCCTGCATGTTTTGTAGCAATGTTTGGTGTTTCGAAAGTGTGAATGAAATGCCGTAATTAAAGACTGTAATTCCTAACTGACTAAGTACGATTTCAATAATTTGCACACCGCACATTAAAACGTTGCCATCCGCATACTTGAAGTCAAAGACCCTCTTCTAGTAACATATCTACACCACCGTCATGTACTGCCTTTAGGGCTGTTTTCAGTGTCACTGACAACAAAGTTAGAGGCGAGTGGTGAGATAAGGCAAATCTACCATATCTGCTACTGAAACGAAACAGTTCAAAAAAATGGCTATATGTTCTAACCTGCCTGATGGGTTTATGAAGAACCTTTAAAATGTTAATAAACTTCCTGGGGGAGATAAATATATAATCAACACGTCCATGACCTGAATAATACATATGTTCACTCCTCACAGACCAGTCCTCGGTTCAGCATAAGCTATGGAGTATGATAAGCGTCAATCGTTTGGAAGAAATCAGAAATACATTTATACCCTCATATGTGTTGAATAAATTAAGTGGCTCCTTTTTAAAGATAAAAACGACGATCGCCATTATACTAATAATCAGTAACGAAAATAGATTTAAAAATATAATAAATCACAACCAGAGAATAAGAAAACACAAATTTAGGACTCTAAACGATATAATTCACAAGTACATGGAAGGAACAAATACATTTATGAGGTGTAAGACTAATCTCACTTTTCGAATTATTGGTACGAAAATTTGAATGCTTAAATAAACGTTTCTGTAATTATTTGAAATAGGTTCACCAGAAGGACATGAATAGATTCAATCAAGCTTATTCCAATCTCCTGAAAGCTAATATTGATGGTTTGAAAAAACGTGATAAACGTGTAAAGTCGACAAATATATCAAGTAAACTCAATCGACCCAAGACAGAAAAAGGCTAATGCAATACATAATATTCGGGATTTTGACCAATTTCATCATACTTAATGTATTTATTTTCAGTTCTCTGTACATAATATTGTATTCAATTTCCGGTCATGTTGGTGATATAATAAAAACGTGGGTACCCTTAGACTTATCGTGTAAATTAAATAAATGGTAATGCTTTGTACATGTATAACTTCTGCCACCTGTTTAATGGGTCTATAGAAAAACTAGAAACAATGCACTTCTGATCAACACCTTGATCTGTTTTTTTGTACTCCGAAAGAGGTAAACTGGTAGTTTATATTTAATTCCAACTTACTACGAAATTGTCTGAAAAAAGCAGTCATAAGCAACTTGAAAACCCATCACAAATGTCTAATACTGAAAGTTTCATTACTAGAGTTAGATGCATACCAAAGTACTAGTTCTATCAGTAATAGATAAAGAGTTTAGACAGAAGTCCTCTAAGTTAGCAATGCTTTATCAACCAGCGAGATAGTACAACTATAAGGGCACCTTGTGACTATCAGTTTGCTAGATATTTTCTGTTAATTCGGTATTACATCTCGCACTAGAAATATACTTTACACCTCAGAGTCCTAGAAGCAAGTGAATATGCAGAGTAATCACACATGATATGTTTATCAACTGCCCGAGTTGACAGGATGAATGTTCAGCTCAGCTACTCCCCTGGCTATGGGTCATTAATCTTCAACAGATTACCGTAAGCTGGTTAAAGATAAACTTACACCATTGGATACTAATTCAGTGGTCTAGAGGTTACGCGCAAGACCAAAGGGTCTTGGTTCGGCGCCCCGTCGCGGAGTCATAAGTGTCCACTCCTGAGGAGTCTCATACTAGGATAAGACGGCTGTCTAGTGTCTTCAGATTCTCGATGCTTGTTTAACTTATATCGGTCGATGGTACCAATAAGACACTCGAATCGCGTAGTCATGAATGTTATTTTACTTGGCACACTGGAAAACATCTGATAACTCCAAGATAGCCCCTTTTCCTGAAATTTACTACTACCAATAGTATTTTGTAGTATATACTTAGGGTCACAGTATCAATAAAAACTTGAAGGGTCGGGATATTGATTTATTTATAGAAGAGACTGAGTAAAAAAAAACCTAGGTCTTAGCATAGAGAACAAGCAAATGGCCAAACAAGAAGTCAACAGTTGGTTAAATCAGGGAGGGATAAACATAACGTGGTACAAAATAATTTGTATAATAATTGAAACGAGTTATCAACAAACAGAAGTACATATTGCTTCGAGAAGCTATTTGGTTGGTTCCGATTTTCATGACTAGTCTGTCATACAAATAGTCCCTATACTTGAACATCAATATTTGGTATTCATATTTACAAGTAGATGGAATTAAATTTACATGATTTGATAGAAACAAAGTTGTAAGTGCCGAATCACTGCGGTCATTATCATTCAATTCAGGACACTGATTTGTCACTATACCAAGAATCTAAAAGTTATGGTGATACAGAAATCTCGATGTGGTTGTGGTAGGCTCCAGAGGAGGGATTTTGTTTATTTTGCAAAGCTACTATTGAATTTCCATTAGGATGACTATGGATATTGGTATTTGCATTTCTGTAGGCTGGTTGTTCATCTTCGCAGAACTGTTCCAAACGAAAGTGGATTGTTGCAAAAGATGGTCGTTTATTTTCATCAGCTGCCCAACATTCTAGCATAAGGTCATATAATTCTGGTGGGCAACCGGGTGGTTTCGACATCCGGTATCCAGCATCCACTTGTCTGAGGACTTCAGCATTATGCATTCCTGGATAAGGAGAACGACCATATGTGACTATTTCAGTCAACAGAATGCCAAAAGACCACACGTCAGACTTTATGGTAAAACGTGAATAATTAGCTGCTTCAGGTGATGTCCACTTTATAGGGAATCTAGCTCCTGCATGTGCTACATATTCTCTGTTCTAGAATTTAAAAAAGAAATTAATAACAGCTTATAGAGGTTTATATAAATGGAAGTAAAAATGGGGATTATAATATCCAAAAATAAAGGTCTTTAATGACTATTTACAACAGCTTGAAATCCGACTAAATCAAATGCATTCGCGATTTCGCACATCAAATCAAATAAAGTAGAGGTGAACTAGGTGTATAGAGAAAATATATGATACAACAGTGGATTCGGTTTCCAAAGCATAGCAGGGTGGATGAGATCCATTTTTAACACAAATACATTCTGCTGACAAGTTTTATGAGCTAGAAGACTTAATCGCAGATCTCTTATTGTCATCCCATTGAGTGTCTGGTTTGGTTAGCCAATGACCTATACTGCATGGAAAGGTATTCTCGGGAATCGGTCCATTTAGACCTATACTTATGATGCGTTGTCTGAAGACAACTGCAGGATATTGAGATATCTAACTGAAACATGTGATCACGTAGCACTGTCAAAAATAATTCTAATTTCTACAGTCACCTTTAGCATAATAACTAAAATCTGTTCAATGAAACTAAACAAAATTGGCATTTAGATAGCGTCATGCACTTTTATGTAATCGTTTCACACCCATTTAGTTATTTTAGTCCGATTGCTCGGTGTAAAAAACCCAATACACCTAGGAAGATTTGAATATTTCACATTTTGATCACCATTAATATGAACTTGTTTCGCGACATTTATAAATATATGATTGAGTATATCAGTGTGAATTTATGTGCTCAAGCAACTTCTAAGATGGGAAAGCCTTCACATTTCCACATTTTTGGCACCAAAAACGAGTGATAAAAGTGAAAGCACTTTGGATTTACGAAGTTCAAAAAATAAATGCCTGGTAGTTAAAGACAATTAGGAATCGCTTCATAATACACAAGATTATTTTATCTAATGACGTTCGGAAAAACGTTTTCATTAAACATAAGAAAGTATAGGTTGAAATATACTACTTACAAATAAGTTACTTATCACAAAGCAAAAAAGGACTTTTTTGTTTAAACTATCCAAGTACATATACCAAAGTGAACTATTAAATTCATTAAGTGCCTACATAATTGAATCTACAAAACGAGTGGACGCAACTTAAGTATAAGGGGAATTGTAATCCGAGAGTTATAAATTATCGAGTATCAATGTCAATATCGATGAATATAGCAAAAAGTCATTGAGGTTAAAGATGGTTCCTACATTGAAAGCAAGCTGGTAAAATTCACACTTAACATTACACTACTTACAAGTAGGTGCAACAAGTAAGTCACTTATTCGAGACCAAAGTAAAAGTAACCGAACGATAGCTCTCTTTCACAAGATGAAGTTTATTTCTTCCCTATTTTCTACAGTTCATTGTTAAAAATGAAACAATTCCTCGTAGTGAAAACTGTTTGTAAAGTATATGGAAATAAAATCAAAAATTGCTAAAACATGAAACTAATTAACAGTGATAAAAAGTCCGCCGATATCTATGAAACCAAGTTCAAACATATTCATTCAATATACCAAAATGTAGTTTGTCAGAAATAGAGCGTAACATACCTAGTAAATCTACAGAAAAAAAGAGAACCTGATCAGCATATAAAACCAGGTCGTTAGATGAGCTGACATGAGACCCGATGCAGCCTTCAAAACCAACACCCAGGAAGAACTATCAGAATAGGGGTTTGTGGAGATTGGAGTTAGATATTAACACCGTTGGATGCCGGCCCAGTGGCCCGGAGGTTAGGTGTTCGCGCACAAGACCGAGTGTCTCGGGTTCGAGTTCCGCGTAAGGCATCGTGGACGCACACTGCTGAGGAGTCCAATACTAGAACGAAACGGCCGTCCAGTGCTTTCGATCCATAAAATAAATTAGAGTATTTGGAGGTGGGTGCGAAATGACGATAACACTATATATTATTTATATCAGCCCCCAAACGCCCTCGTACGGCTGAGTGGGAAGAGTCGACTCTCCCTCTCGGGGTGTGGCCCTCTAAATAACCACCTGCTTCAGTTTTGGAAACCAGGCACTATCCCAGCCCTCACAAAAATCGAATGATTTATGTAGCGCATATCTGTTTCGTGCCTCCTCGTACCAATGTTTATGTGTTTAAATAATGAACAAAGTATTTATATCATCAATAGCAACTAAATAGTACAAGCCGGGGATATTTTAATTCTAGTCAGAGAATAGACTACTGGACATCAAAACTGTTAGAACGTTTCACACAAACCAAAAAGACATATCGATTCAAGTTGTCACACTTAATATCAGCAAAAATCAAAGAAAATAAATACATAAATATACATCATATGTGTATCTACATTTGAATAAAACGACTATTTAAACAAAAAATGAAACCTAGAAACAATAAATCTGATTAAAGATAATACATATTTAGCTCTATATGATTCATGTTCACCAAGCACATGTACTTTGAATAACAGATGTTTTATTAATAATAATTATTATTATTACAATTAATTATCTACTTCGTCATCACTGAAAACATTAAACGATGGCAGGACTCATTGTGTAAATAAAACAAGTTAATGCATTAATTCATATTAACGGTATAATCACACTCTTGTAGAAAATCTTCCAACCACCGCTTATTCTCATATAAAGGGTATTCATACAATTATTCTATAACAATAGGAAGCAGAAGTATTTGGTTTTTTTCTAAATCAAGAATCGATAAATCTACTGATTCCCGTGTAAATGGAATCCTCAAAAAATTAATGTAAAGCAGTTCAAAAAGTACTTCTAACGACTGACTTTACATAGGTTTATATTAGTGTAAGGAATGACCGTTTTTCGAAAATTTAGAATATAATTAAATGAATGGACACACCAATTGAATACAACAAATCGTTGAATAACAAAGGGATCAGTACTGTTTAACTTGTTTGGTTCCAGAATTCAAGTACACATATAGCCATTCCTGAATATAAATGATTAGTTAGTTGCTGTCGATAACCAATAGAGCTTAATTTTCCAAAGTATTCAGAATCACAAAAGATTAGTAACACAATCCAATTTTAGGGATTAGAAGTTCTGATGATTAATCACTTTTAAATTATTGAAAAGCATAAATTTTCCCAGCAATGTGAATTGCTATTATTAATGAGAAAAATCGATAATATTTCTATTTGAAAAGATATTTTTCGTACACAACCAAATTACAAACGACCATCAATATTTTTCATTGTGAGAATCAATACTGATCGATCAAATACACACATCATTTTCCAAAACGATTGTGTAGGTTTAAGTAAACTTTCAAAAAGATGGAAATATATGGTTTTTTACTTTAACAAAAGAATAATCTATGGCACCTTTCAAAGATAGAGAAACAATAAACTAGTAGAAAACGTTTTCCTGGAACTGCTGGCATGTGAACGTGCGAAAATGATGAGTGGATTTCCATATGTTGTTTTTTCGCGGTTAGGTAAAATTAATCTAGATATAACGGATAAGTTCGAAGATATATTGCATCAAGTTAATTCTCATACATTACTAATCTGTGGTATTTATCCGACGAACTGGATGAACAATGAAAATACGAAAATAAATTCCTACTATCAGGATTTTTATTCTAAATAAAACTGAAAAGTGCGTATACGTGCAGTCAGACCAATAACCAAGTAACGTATGAACTAGTTTATTAAGTAAAGTCTATTCAAACGATATCATCTCTATACTATGCACTAATTCTTAAATTAGCTGGCTTTCAATTCACGGTCTCCTAAAAAGTAGAATTCTATGTGTATACTATCGCTAAGGTTCAAACTATAAAGACGCTACTTTTTAATACTTTATATTTTCATACGTTTTAGCTCGTGAAAACCATTCTCCAATAACTTAAAGCTTCAACTAGGTAAGTGTTAGTCCTATCATTTAATATTTCAATTATAGTTAATATTAAAAATATATATATATATAGCTCTTGTGGGACAATTTAATGCTTTTTCTGGTATAAATGATGTAAAGATTATGGTATTTTATCATCCTGGTCGAGATGAAATAAGCTATAACGTGTTATCTCCCCGGGTGGCAGGTCAAAACAGTGTACATACTGTAGTTCATTGAGTACGAAAGTCGACTTTTGAAAGTCAAGAGCAACACTTCAATAAGTAATTCACCATTCATTCATAATTGAAGAAATCTTATTGTTCCTTCTCTACTTTTGATTGATGATAGTAAGTGGTTAGAACATTTTTCTGTTTAACGTGATAGGCTTAAATTATTGTTCAATATTTATTTTAATTTTAATATAAACAAAAATGGAATTTCTCTTTGTTTTCTGCCCAAGTGTACGTTGTGGGTTGGTTCTTTAAGATTACTGAACATGTACAAAAAAATCCGTGTAAATTTAAAACAAGAGGAAACATTAATTTATATGTACGATTGTTTGTGTATTATAATCCATTATTTGGTTAAGTGTTGAACCAACATTATTTAATCATTGATCGCGACTGTGTTCATAATATTTTTCTGAGAAGCGAGTGGTTAGTGTTTCGTCGATCGACAGTGTCAGCTTAAACTCTTTTTTGAATTATTCTACTCATACTTTATAACCATCGCATAAGGAACGTGAAGTTCCTGAAAATATAAGTATGGCGAGTGAACCCATAAGTGATAAACGAAGTAAGAATTTCTAGGAATTAGTCATAACATGGGTACAGACGAACATTAATATGTAAGTGATTCTCCAAATTGTATTATTTAACTACTAATAAGTGAAAAGAAATAAGTAGAATATACAGTACAGGTCACAGAGAGAAGGTAATGTATAAACATGAATAAGACAAGAGTAGACAAATAAAGAAGGCACCATCAACACCAGCCAAGCCTCCATTATTTTCTTACTTATTCTTATTATTCAAAACAAAAGGGCAATTCTAATTGACATCTAATAAATAAATCGTGAAATCTCACACTTTTCCTGAAGGATTCCGGGGATTTTTATTGTACCACGAGTCAAACCACCTAGT